CACAGTCATACATTCATACAATCACACAGTCATACAGTCGCACAGTCATAGTCACACAGTCATACAGTCACACAGATATACAGTCACACAGTCACACAGTCACACAGTCATACAGTCACACAGTGATACAGTCATACGTTCTAGTATCAAGTTGTCCTAGTATCAGGTTGTCCTAGTATCAGGTTGTCCTAGTATCATATGGTTCTAGTATCAAGTTGTCCTAGTATCAGGTTGTCCTAGTAGCAGGTTGTCCTAGTATCACGTGGTCCTAGTACCAGGTTGTTCTAGTATCAGGTTGTCCTATTGTCCTAGTATCAGGTCATACAGTCATACAGTCACACAGTCATACAGTCACACAGTCATACAGTCACACAGTCATACAGTCACACAGTCATACAGTCACACAGTCACACAGTCACACAGTCATACAGTCATACAATCACACAGTCACACAGTCATACAGTCATACAATCACACAGTCATACATTCATACAATCACACAGTCATACAGTCGCACAGTCATAGTCACACAGTCATACAGTCACACAGTCATACAGTCACACAGTCACACAGTCACACAGTCATACAGTCACACAGTCATACAGTCACACAGTCATACAGTCACACAATCACACAGTCATACAGTCACACAGTCACACAGTCATACAGTCACACATTCATACAGTCATATAGTCATACAATCAAAGTCATAAAGTCATACAGTCACACAGTCACACAGTCATACAGTCATACAGTCATACAATCACACAGTTATACAGTCGCACAGTCATAGTCACACAGTCACACAGTCACACAGTCATACAGTCATACAGTCATACAGTCATACAATCACACAGTCATACAGTCGCACAGTCATAGTCACACAGTCATACAGTCATACAGTCATACAGTCATACAAATCATATAGTCACACAGTCATACAGTCATACAGTCACACAATCACACAATCATAGTCACACAGTCATACAGTCACACAGTCATACAGTCACACAGTCATACAGTCACACAGTTATACAATCACACAGTCATATAGTCATACAGTCACACGGTCATATAGTCATATAGTCATACAGTCATACAATCACACAGTCATACAGTCATACAATCATACAGTCACACAGTCATACAATCACACAGTCATACAGTCACACAGTCACACAGTCACACAGTCATACAGTCACACAGTCATACAATCACACAGTCATATAGTCATACAGTCACACAGTCATATAGTCATACAGTCATACAATCACACAGTCATACAGTCATACAGTCACACAGTCATACAGTCATACAGTCACACAGTCATACAGTCACACAGTCATACAGTCACACAGTCACACAGTCATACAGTCACACAGTCATACAATCACACAGTCATATAGTCATACAGTCACACAGTCATATAGTCATACAGTCATACAATCACACAGTCATACAGTCATACAGTCACACAGTCATACAGTCATACAGTCACACAGTCATACAGTCACACAGTCATACAGTCACACAGTCACACAGTCATACAGTAACACAGTCATACAATCACACAGTCGTACAGTCATACAGTCACACAGTCATACAGTCACACAGTCATACAATCACACAGTCATACAGTCATAGTCACACAGTCATACAGTCATACAGTCATACAGTCACACAGTCGTACAGTCATACAGTCATACAGTCACACAGTCACACAGTCATACAGTCATACAGTCACACAGTCGTACAGTCATACAGTCACACAGTCACACAGTCATACAGTCATACAGTCACACAGTCATACAGTCACACAGTCACACAGTCATACATTCACACAGTCATACAGTCATACAATCACACAGTCATAATCACACAGTCATAGTCCCACAGTCATACAGTCATACAATCACACAGTCATAAAGTCACACAGTCACACAGTTATACAGTCACACAGTCATACAGTCACACAGTGATACAGTCATACAGTCACACAGTCACACAGTCACTCAGTCATACAATCACACAGTCATAGTCACACAGTCATAGTCCCACAGTCATACAGTCACACAGTCCCACAGTCATACAGTCATACAGTCACACAGTCATACAGTCACACAGTCATACAGTCATACAGTCATACAGTCACACAGTCATACAGTCACACAGTCACACAGTCACACAGTCATACATTCACACAGTCATACAGTCATACAATCACACAGTCATAGTCACACAGTCATAGTCCCACAGTCACACAGTCGTACAGTCATACAGTCATACAGTCACACAGTGATACAGTCATACAGTCACACAGTCACAAAGTTATACAGTCATACAGTCGCACAGTCATACAGTCATAAAGTCACACAGCCATACAGTCCCTCAGTCATACAGTCATATTTCTGTATTTCCCACACAGTCATACAGACACACAGTCACACAGGCACATAGTCATACAGGCATACAATCACACAGGCATACGGTCACACAGTCACACAGTTACACAGTCATACAGTCTCCCAGTCACACAGTCACTCAGTCATACAGTCACACGGTGATACAGTCATACAGACACACAGTCACACAGGCACATAGTCATACAGTAACACAGTCATACAGTTATACAGTCATACCGTCACACAGTCATACACTCACACACTCATAGTCCCACAGTCCCACAGTCACACACTCGTACAGTCATACAGTAATACAGTCACACAGTTATCCAGTCATACAGTCACCCAGTCATACAGTCACACAGACGGACAATCACACAGTCATAAAGCCATACAGTCACACAGGCACATAGTCATACAGGCATACAATCACACAGGCATAGAGTCACACAGTCATAGAGTCACACAGTCATAGAGTCACACAGTCACACAGTCAAACAGTCACACAGTCCCACAGTCACACAGTCATATACTCATACATTCACACATTCATACAGTCACACATTCATACAGTCACACAGTCATTCAGTCACACAGTCACCCAGTCACACAGTTATACAGTCGCACAGTCATACAGTCTCCCAGTCACACAGTCATTCAATCGCACAGTCATACAGTCTCCCAGTCACACAGTCTTACAATCACACAGCCATACAATCACATAGTCATAAAGTTACACAGTCACAAAGTCATACAGTCATATAGTCATACAGTCATAAAGTCACACAGTCCCACAGTCACACAGTCATTCAGTCACACAGTCATTCAATCACACAGTCATATACTCATACATTCACACATTCATACAGTCACACAATCACACAGTCAGACAGTCATACAGTCACACAGCCATACAGTCACTCAGTCATACAGTCACCAAGTCATACAGTCACACATTCATATAGTCACACAGTCATAGTCTCACAGTCATAGTCCCACAATCACACAGTCAGACAGTCATACAGTCACGCAGTCACATAGTCATACAGGCACACAGTCACACAGGCACATAGTCATACAGTCATATTTCTGTATTTCCCACACAGTCATACAGGCACACAGTTATACAGTCACACAGTGAAACAGTCAAACAGTCACACAGTCATTCAGTCACACAGTCATGCAGTCCAAAAATCCTACAGTCACACAGTCGCACAGTTATACAGTCGCACAGTCACACAGTTACACAGTCATACAGTAATACAGTCACACAGTCACAGTCCCACAGTCGTACAGTCACACAGTCATTCAATCACAAAGTCATACAGTCATATAGTCATACAGTCATATTTCTGTATTTCCCACACAGTCATACAGGCACACAGTCATACAGGCACACAGTTATACAGCCATCCAGTCACACAGTCATTCAATCGCACAGTCATACAGTCGTACAGTCATACAGTAATACAATCACACAGTCATATACTCATACATTCACACATTCATACAGTCATACAGGCACACAGTTATACAGTCGCACAGTCACACAGTCCTACAGTCATACAGTCGCACAGTCACACAGTCTTACAATCACACAGCCATACAATCACATAGTCAGAAAGTCACACAGTCACCCAGTCATACATTCACACAGGCATACAGTCATACAGGCACACAGTTATACAGCCACCCAGTCACACAGTCATACACTCACACAGTCACACAGTCATACAGTCACACAGTCATATAGTCATACATTCACACAGTCATACAGTCATATTTCTGTATTTCCCCAGTAGAACGGACACCTGTTAGCCTAGACAGCTGATATATTTACAGTTTTTAGATGATTCCAGAAACATTGATTCACAAACAATTTTAATATATTTCCTTGTGTAAGAGATAAGGAGGAATATAGGAAAAACTGTACAAGAACGGACTGCCATGAATGGACTGTACATAGACAGTAAAACAGAGTAGATAGTCTTTGAGAAGGTTTATACATGAATGTTTTTTCTTCCATATCTGTATTAATGAACTACAAAATCAGATTGAAGTTCGTGTGACGTGAAAAACATCTTATAAAGACCTGGGAAACGCAAAAGGCACTGAGAATCAGGTTCCTTGTGATTTTTAAATGTTCTTATTTTTATATATATACATATGGAATTAACTTATTGTACTTGCATTAATCGTTTCAATTAATCATACGGAAAAAGAAACGTTAAAAATATCTTTTAATAAATAAATATAAATCTCAAAGTAAAACACCTTGTCCATCTGAACATATCAAACATAAGGAATTAGTAAATTAATACTAGCTACAGGACTATACTTGTCACCATCTCTCTGTCTTTCTCTCAACAGTCAAACCTTGTATTTTATAGACTACAGCAAGCAAATTATATTTGTTATTCTAGATATTAATAAAACATATAAAAAATAAGCAATGTTATTTAAAATTCAAGCATGGTGCCGATTTTCACATCGGAAGCGAGATGTTGTTGTTATCTAAATCAAACAATTTGAAGAATTTTAATTAATTTAATTTAATTGTTACAAAACAAATATATCTGACAACAGGCAAAACCTGTGTTAGTCGGTTCCCACTTTAAGACAATCCAATACCGTAGCCCAGGCAGCCTTAACGGTTTCCTCGAACGCACTAAGCAACGCTTCCTTGATCGTCCAAAATACTTCCAACTTATCCCTCAGGCTCAGAGAACAGAATGAGAAGCCCTCAGACGGATTGGAGTAACATTTAGGATGAGAAGCGAACGCCATACTCTTTATATCAGAACACGAGATATTGACCTCCGGACTCAGGACAGGAGCCAGAACAACCTGCAGACACTTCTTTGACGCGGCTATCCATTGTCGACCATATGTAGAAAACATGTGGACATTTTTAGCATACAGGTCGCAGAACTTTTCCGCGTACGTTATGGCATAGGCAGAACCTGTTTGTTCACACGGATATCGTTTCTCCAGACATTGCCTGTACCAGGAACACTTCGTGCCATCAGGGTTGTAGCACCAAAGAGGTAACCTTGTCGAGGAACCATTCTTGTCAACATGTTTACACGAAATGATGTCCAAAGACATGCATAGCACAAGGAGTATGATTATTCGAATATATTCCATAATAGGCGAAGGTGAGGGCACTGACAGGGCTATCTGGGTTAAATGTGTGTCCAGATAAGAACAGCGCGCAATACATATAGAGTACATTTGTATAATACTGATGACGTACATGGCTGTTGAAGCTTATCGCTGTATACATATTCACTGACCTTTCTATGTATAGTTTATTTTCATTCTGACTGGCTATTTCATGGCTATTCAATGAATATTTAACTGACTGTTCCAAGAAATAGCACAAAGTCTATAGATCTCGCTGAATTCTTTTAGTACTTTCCAACAGACAACTACTATACAGTTGAATAAAGAATTTTTTTTCAAAACGTCAGATTACTCGCAGACGTCATACGCATAATCCTACCATATATAGAGTGAGGATGCGCTTCAATTTTTCCTTTGTAAAAAGATATCGGTTTGTTTCCCGTTACGCCTCGGGAAGTGAAGTAAATGTATGCAACGTCAAATTGGGAAGGAATATCAATGATCCCATAAAACGTTGTCCTACACGTGAGGGGTAGATTAGTTAAAAGAATTTAGACTAGTGCTCGGCGTACTTGTTATATTGGAGAACACGGAAAGGTAACACTAAATCCTGCTGTTCACTCTTCACATGTAGGCTTAAAAAACATGTTTTACGATTAATGTAAATTATAATATTGTTTGTGTGTTTCTCTTATTTTTTAATATTTTTTTCTTAATTTTTGGTTTTGTGTGCGTGTGTGTGTGCTTGATATCTCGTACCAATAAAAGTTAAGTAATTGCATGCATAATAACATTGTAAATATAATATTCCTTTCACTTTAATTTGTATTTGCACATTATCCCAGACAAATATAATGTTGGTCATTAAGTCCCCAAAACTCCACCGCTGACCATTTTCTACAAGTCAGATTCTATTGAAACTGCACGGGAGTATTAATGAGCACAGGCAGATGTACACTCTTTATTTTCTCACCGTTGGGAATTCATGATAGCTACTGTGTCCTCTGAACTCAACCCCGACTTCTGATATTTGTATCATTTACGACAACAGAGGTGGTTATGCGGACATATGGCAAGATGGATCTGATAGAAAGAAGGTTCAGCACTAGTGTCCGTTGTTTATAATGTCAGTATAACATGATAACAAGGAAAACAACACTCACGTATTGGGGAACATCTACGTAAACACTTAAAGGTATCATACCGTTAGAGGTATTGACACTTAGATAGCAAATGTCCACATACTTAAGATACAACGTACATTTGTAATATATACAGACATGTGTATATATACTGAAATGATAAAGATTATTTAATGTTTTGTAATTGAATGTTATATGCAATATTTTTATATAAGTATAATAAAACTTCTATAACAATCATATTACCAAAATTTAATTAGTTTTGACCGATAATTCATGAGTAATTGAAGCACTTTTGACGGTACCCCCGAATATCGCAAAATGAAATCGACTGACTTGTCAGTATCTCGTATGCCCCCCTCGAGCATCTTTCACAGCCCTGATTATCTTGCGATGGAGTTTATCAGTGTATAGCCTTCTCATGGTGATATCGTTATAATCTTCCAACAAGGCAGTCCTTAGTTGGTCGAGAGTAGTGGGATTTCCGAGGCCCCCTACCCTCCTGTCAAGTTCGTCCCACAAATATGTTCGATTGGTTTGCGAGAAAGTCTAGACAAACTCTGTCTGCATCGGGCCGGGCATTATCATGCAAAAACCAACCAAGCCACACAACGCGAGACGTGCACGAGTGAGAGGCAGGCCAACGTAAGGACGACGAGCTCGTAGACCAACCTCGCGCAATTTGTTCCTTACAGTTTTGGGCTGAATGTGCCGATTATGATTGCCTAAATTGACATTAAATAGCAGAAAGTGATCTGTATACCTCAAGCGTATCAAGTGGTATGACAAGATGTGTCTACCTCAAGCGTATCAAGTGGTATGACAAGATGTGTCTACCTCAAGCGTATCAAGTGGTATGACAATATGTGTCTACCTCAAGCGTATCAAGTGGTATGACAAGATGTGTCTACCTCAAGCCTATCAAGTGGTATGACAATTAAGATGTGTTTACCTCAAGAGTATTAAATGGTATGACAAGATATGTTGACGAGCTTGTCATCATTATTCTGCACGTGTTTTTGCATCTTAATACTTTCACTATGTGGCACGGTACATTGCACGATTTAGTTAAGGTTTTAGACACCGGTTTGAGTGCACAGTAACCAAGATACTCATCTGACCATTTTCATAATTCAAGACCAAGCAATTAAATAATCGTTGCATATTTTGTTACCCTGCGTTTCTTTATCCTTTCGGTATATTACAATGAACTATCTAGAAAACCTATTTTGCTAGTGAGAAAACGATTGAGATCTTCACAACGCAGTTTTCTTGATACGTTGATTAAGTACTTGTTTATTTTCCTTAAGAGTTAATGAGTAATTTTTGTATGCGTTCCACATTATCTGTTAATGTGAACTTACCTGAATTTAACCTCTACATGGCGGGTGCGCCGATGAAGCAGAACACATGTACCTTTCCGGAACACCTGGCCTTATTCTCTTTGCAATTTCCTTTGTACATATTTTGCCATTGTTTCATCGACTGTGTGTTAAACAACCTATTTTGTTGGCAATTCGGTATTCTCTGTCTGTAGATCTAGAGAGCCTACACAAGTAGACATTTTGCTGCACGATATGGCATTTTATCCATTTAAGACTCATAAGTGGTATTAAAGGTCAAACGGACGAAAAAAGTCGTGACTGAAGTATTTCAAATTACAGAGTCCAACGAAAAGGACCTTTGGCTTCTATTGATATTTAAACCAGTATTCAGTAAACCGTACCAGATTAAAATCCAGATACAAGGACACATGCAGTCATCATCGGGAACTTATAGGATACGATTACACCTTATGTTTGACGTGCTACCTTATCTATTTATGTTGATGTGTCCTTGTACAGGGTGTTATTGCAAACACTGCCCTCAATACAAAGTACAACAAGGTAGAAGTCAGTACTGCTTCCGTGTCGACCTTGACCTCCTAATGATTACAGGCTTACGTGTTTGTATATTTTTGAAGTATGGCTTTATCAGTCTCAGACCTGATAGCATTAAGGAATGTTATGTCACAATGAAACACAGCGAAATGACAGTCGATGCAGTATTATCGGCAAACGCTAAGTTTGCACCGTGAAAGCGAGAAGAGGGACGTTTCAGGATTAGATTATATGATGCACATTTCAAATCTGGTCATCCTTTTTGTAATCTACAAGTTATTATTAACGTAAATTAAATAATTTTAATTCAATTATAATGATCATAATACCTTGATTTGTCATTTCCCTTAATAAACATCATCATTTTGTTTGAGGAAAAAAAATAAAAATAACCCAACTAAGTACGCTGATTTTGTCAGTTTAGAATTTCAAGAAAAAAATGACATTCTTTTTCTAAACTCAAAAAATGCAAAATGTTATATCTAGTTTTCACTTCACAAAACTAATCTAAATAAAATTTGGCAGACTGATGTGTCGATGTGTACAGACTGATGTGTCGATGTGAACAGACTGATGTGTAGATGTGTACAGACTGATGTGTCGATGTGTACAGACTGAGACTGGTGTGTCGTTGTGAACAGACTGATGTGTCGATGTGTACAGACTGATGTGTCGATGTGTACAGACTGGTGTGTCGATGTGTACAGACTGGTGTGTCGATGTGTACATACTGGTGTGTCGATGTGTACAGACTGATGTGTCGATGTGTACAAACTGGTGTGTCGTTGTGAACAGACTGGTGTGTCGATGTGAACAGACTGGTGTGTCGATGTGTACAGACTGGTGTGTCGATGAGTACCGACTGGTGTGTCGACGTGTACAGAGTGGTGTGTCGATGTGTACAGACTGTTGTGTCGATGTGTATAGACTGATGTGTCGATGTGTACAGATTGATGTGTCGATGTGTACAGACTTATGTGTCGATGTGTACAGACTGGTGGGTCGACGTGTACAGACTGGTGTGTCGATGTTTACAGACTGGTGTGTCGATGTGTTCAGACTGGTGTGTCGATGTTTACAGACTGATTTGTCGATGTGTACAGACTGGTGTGCCGATGTGTCCAGACTGGTGTGTCCATGTGTACAGACTGGTGTGTCGACGTGTCCAGACTGGTGTGTCGATGTGTACAGACTGGTGTGTCGATGTGAACGGACTGGTTTGTCGATGTGTACAGACTGATGTGCGATGTGTACAGACTGGTTTGGTCGATGTGTACAGACTGATGTGTCGATGTGTACAGACTGATGTGTCGATGGGTACAGACTGATGTGTCGATGTGTACAGACTGATTTGTCGATGTGAAAAGACTGATGTGTCGATGTGAACAGACAGGCGTGTCGATGTGTACAGACTGATGTGTCGATGTGAACAGACTGATGGTTCGATGTGAACAGACTGATGTGTCGATGTGAACAGACTGATGGTTCGATGTGAACAGACTGATGTGTCGATGTGTACAGACTGGTGTGTCGATGTGTACAGCCTGATGTGTCGATGTGTACAGACTAATGTGTCGATGTGTACAGACTGATTTGTCGATGTGAACAGACTGATGTGTCGATGTGAACAGACAGGCGTGTCGATGTGTACAGACTGATGTGTCGATGTGTACAGTCTGGTGTGTCGATGTGTACAGACCGGTGTGTCGATGTGTACAGACTGATATGTCGATGTGTACAGACTGGTGTCTCGATGTGTACAGACTGATGTGTACTGATGTGTCGATGTGTACAGAATGATGTTTCGATGTTTACAGACTGATGTGTCGATGTGTTCAGACTGATTTGACGATGTGTACAGACTGGTGTGACGATGTGTACACACTGTTGTGTCGATGTCTACAGACTGATGTGTCGATGTGTGCAGACTGGTGTGTCGATGTGTACAGCCTGGTGTGTC